TGGCACTAATCAAAAAAAAAAAAAAAACAGAAAATAACAAATGTTGGAGAAGTTGCAAGGAGACTGGAACTCTTATGCATTGCTGGTGGGAATGCAAAATGGTACAACCACTATGTAAAATGATACAGCGCTTCCTTAAAAAGCTAGAAATAGAAATACCATATGATCCAGCAATCTACTCCTAGGAATATAACCTAGAGAAATAAGAGCCATCACACAAACACATATATGCATACTCATGTTCACTGCAGCATTACTCACAATAGCAAAAAGATGGAAACAACCTAAGTGCCCATGAACAGATGAATGAATAAACAAATAATGGTACATACACACAATGGAATACTACACAATGATAAAGAACAATGATGAATCTGTGAAATATCTTACAACATGGATGAATCTGGAGGGCATTATGGTGAGTAAAATAAGTCAATCACGAAAGGACAAATACTGTATGAGACCACTATTATAAAAACTGAAAAAAAGGTCTACGCACAGAGAGAAACAATCTTTGACTGTTACAAGGGAGGAGAGGGTTGGGGAGGAGAAATTACTAGCTAGATAGTAGATAAGTGTTAATTTTGGTAAAGGGAAAGAGTACACAAGATAGGGAAAGTCAGTACAACCTGACCAAAGCAAAGTCACAGAAGCTTCATAGACACATCCAAACACACTGAGGGACTGAGTTCCTGGGGCTGAGGGCTGGAGACCACGGTCATGGGGGTCATCTAGGTCAACTGGCATAACATAATTCATAAAGAAAATGTTCTACATGCAACTTTCGTGAGTAGTGTCTGGGGTCTTAAAAGCTCGCAAGCAGCCATCCAAGATACATTCACTGGTACCGTCTTGTTCAGAGCAAAGGAGAATGAAGAAAACCGAAGACACAAAGGAAGTATTAGTCCAAACGACTAATGGACCACAAGTACCACAGCCTCCACCAGCCTGAGTCCAGAACTAGATGGTGCCTGGCTACTATCACTGGCCACTCTGACAAGGATCACAATAAAGTGTCCCAGACACAGCAGGAGGAAAATGTAGAACAAACTTCAAATTCACAGAAAAAAAAAAGACCAGAATTATTGGTCTGACAAAGATGGAAGGAACCCCTGAGACTATGGCCCCCAGACACTGGTTTAACTCAGAACTGAAGCCATTACCGAAGTTCACTCTTTAGCCAAACGTTAGACAGGTCTATAAAACAAACAATAACACACCTGAGGAACATGCTTTTTAGTTCAATCATGTATATGAGCCAAATTACATAAATTACCAAACGCAGCAACTTTACTAAATATTCTAGGAAAAGACAATCCCTACCTTATAGACAATACTCTAGAGAACAGAAAAAAAGGGGAAGCTCTCCAATTAACTCTATATTAGTAAAACTATGACACCAAAACAATCAAGGAGCACATGAGAAAAGATACCTACAGACCAATCCCACTTATGAACACAGAGGTAAAATTACTACCCCAAATAATAGCAAGCCAAATCCAGTAAAGTATTTTTCTTAAATCTGATAAAGCAAGCTCATTTCAGGAATGCAAGTGTGGTTTAAATCAGAAAACACATTAATAGAATTTACCACATAAAGCATTTGATATAATTCAACACTATTAATGATTTACGTGAGAAAAATAAAACAAAACAAAGAAATTTCCTAGCAAAGGATATTTACCAAAACCTCTGGCAAGACACTGGTCATCGTTTCTATTCAACATTGAACTAGTAGTCCTTTTCAGGGAAGTAAGGCAAGAAAAAGTAGGAAATAAAAAGGACTGGAAAGAAAACAACTCAAGAGTCATTACTCATATAGAATAATATAGTTCATAGAGAAAAGTCAAACAGCTTATTATCACCATTAAGCTTAGCAAGGTTGCAGATATATGATCTATACACAAAAATCAACTGCATTTCTATGCTAGCATTAAACAATTAGAAAATGCAATATTTAAAAATACTCTTAATAACCCAAAACCAAACCCACCACCTTTAAGGTGATCTCGTCTCACAGAGATCCTGTAAGACAAAGCAGAACTGCCCCATAGGGTTTCCAAGGCTGTAAATCTTTACGGAAGTGACAGCAGTTATGATAACTGCTATGGAGAAAAAGCAGACTTTCCCCTGGGTATTTTTAAACCCTCCCTGGAACAACTCGGGTTGAAGAGCAAATACAAAACAAAACTGCATAATCCCTAGAAGGGATAAATAACACTCTATGAGATATGGAGCCCTGATGGTGCAGTGGTTAACAGGTCGGCTGCTAACCAAAAGGTCAGCTGTTCGAATCCACCAGCCATTCCTTGGAAACCGTATGGGGCAGTTTTACTCTGTCCTATAGGGTCGTTATGAGTCGGAATCGACTTGAATGCACATAACAACAAGACACAAATTCCATACCTAGGCATATATATCTAAGAGAAACGTCTGCTAAAGACATAATACAAGAATTTCCTGCAATCGATGTCACTGATTTGCACATGTAAAAACTTTTGAAATGGTGTAACTTTGACTATGTATATTTTCACCAAAAAAAAAAAAAAAAAGCCCTCCGAGGTCGAGAAGGGAGAGTGTTGACATGTTGTGGGGTTGTTAACCAATGTCATAAAACAATATGTGTACTGAGTGTTTAATGAGAAACTATTTGTTTTGTAAACCTTCATCTAAAGTACAATAATAAAAAAATTTTAGACATACAAAAAAAAAAAAAGAATTTCCTAACAGCTCTATTGGTAACAGCTCATGTTAGAAAAAATTGGATCCTCACTCCATTACAAAAAAAAACCCTAACTTGCTGTCAAGTCAATTCTGACTCATGGCAACCCCATATGTGTGGAGTAAAATTGCTCTGTAGGGAGTTTTTGGCTATAATCTTTATGGAAGCAGATTGCCAGACCTTTCTCCCAGGGCACCTCTGGGTGGGTTCGAACCACTAACCTTTGGGTTACTTCATGCTGTTAGTTGCCATCGAGTCAATTCCAACTCATGGCAACCCCATGTGTGCAGAGTAGAACTGCTCCATAGGGTTTTCAAGGCTGTGACCTTTCCAAAGTAGATCACCAAGGCCTGTCTTCCAAGACCCCTCTGGGGGGGTTTGAACCGCCAACCTTTTGGCTAGTAGTTGAGCACTTAGCCATTTGTGCCACCCAAGGACCTCCTTCATTCCATACACTAGAGTATCCAAAGAGTAAAATATTTAATTGCAAAAAAAATGAAACCATAAAAACACATAGGAAAATTCCTTTAAAATCCTAGAATGTGAATGCCTTTATAACGTGATTAAAAATCTAGAAGTCATAAAACAAAAGACTGAACAGTGTGACTACATTTTTTAAAAATCTAGATTATAAACCATGACCAAGTGGCATCTATCCCAGGAATCTCAGGGTGGTTCAACATAAGAAAATCAATCAATGTCATATACACATTAACAGAAGGAAGAAAAAAACTAATGATCATCTCAATTGATGAGAAAAAGGCATTTGACAAAATCAATACCCTCTCATGATAAAATAACACTCAGCATACTAGGAATAGAAGGGAAAATCCTCAACATGATAAAGGGCATTTACAAAAAAATCCAGAGCTAACATCACACATTAAGACCAGGAACAAGACAAGAATGCTTGCTTTCATCACTGCTATTCCACTTCGCTATGAGTTGGAATCGACTTGACAGCAATGGGTAATGCCACATTGTACTGGCAGTTCTAGCCAAAGCAATTAGGTAAAAAAGAGAGAGAAAAAAGACAAATCATCCAAATTGGAAGGAAGAAGTAAAACTATATTCACAGATGACATGATTTTATATATAGAAAATCCCAAAGATTCCACAAGAATGTTACTAGAATTAATACACAAATTCAGCAAATGACAGGGTACAAGAGCAACAGAGAACCATCAGTTGTGTTTCTATACACCAACAATGAACAATCCAAAAACTAAATTAAGAAAACAATTCCATTTATAATAGCATTTAAAAGAATAAAATACTTAGGATTCAATTTAACCAAGGAGGTGAATGAGTTGTACACTGTAAACTATGAAACACTGCTGAAAGAAATTAAAGGAGACCTAGGTAGGTCCAGGAGCCCTGGTCACGAAGTGGTTAAGAGGCTGGGTGCTAACCAAAAGGTCAGCAGTTCAAATCCAGCAGCTGCTCCTTGGAAACCCTATGGAGTAGTTCTACTCTGTCCTATAGGGTTGCTATGAGTCGGAATCAACTTGACAGCAATGGGTTTGGTTTGATTTGGTTAAGTAGGTCCAAAGTAGGGTCCAACTTTATTCTTCTGCATATGCAAATCCTTTCATGTTCCCAAGAACAGCAAAGAGGCCAAGCCAGTATTGTAATGAGCAAAAAGAATATGAGGGGATGGGTCAAGGGAGAACATGAGGGTAAAGAAGATTGTGTAAGGCCTTGTAAGACTTTTAAGAACTTAGGTTTTTACTTTCATTTGACATGCCATTGGAGGGTTGGAGTATACATTTTATAGGATCACTCTGGCTGCTGGGTTGAGAATAGATATGGAGAGCAAGACTACCAATTAAGAAGAAATTGCAGTAATAATCCACGAGAGAGGTGGTGGTGGCTTGGATCAGAGTGGTAGAAGTGGCTGTGGAGGTGGCACGATGTGATTGTATTCTGGATATATTTTGAAGGTAGAGCTCAACTAGGATTTTCTAATGGATTGGATGTTGGGTATGAGAGGAATAGAGGAGTCAAGGATCACGCCAAAGATGGTCAATATCTATCAAAATTATAAATGCATACCATCTTACCCAGCAATTTTACTTCTGGGAATTTATTCTTCCATATACACACGTGTAAAATGATACATACACAAGGTCATTCTTAGAGCAGTGGTTCTCCAAATATGATCCACAGATCCCTGGGGGCCCCAAGAACCTTCCACAAGGTTCCAAGGTCCACAAGGTCAAAACAATTTTCATAATACTTCTAAGAAGTTATTTGACATTTTCACTGTGTTCATATTAGTACAGATGGTACAGAAGTAATGCTGGGTAAAACTGCTAGAGCCTTAGCACGATTAAGACAGTGGAAACCAACGATACTGCGAGTCATCATATTCTTCACTGCCAGGCACTCACAAGTGGGGAAAAAAAAAGCCAGATTTACTTTTAAATGTTCTTCATGAAGCAGGATAAGATTAATTTTACTAAATTTTGACCCTGGAGTATATGAAATGGGTTGCATACACAGTGGTTGTCTCTCGGAAAAGCAGCTGTATGATTATTTGAGTTGTGAACTGAAATAGCCACTTTTTTCATGGAATACCATTTTTCCTTGAAACAAAGACTGACAAACTATGGTTATTCAGACTTCGGCTCAAAAATGAACACAGTGATCTTGTTGCTTCAGGGAAAACAACTGATGATATTTATTGCTTTCACCTGAAGATTTGAATTTTGGAAAACATATTTGCCACTGCGAGCTTGAGAACTTCCTGGCATTCAAAGACTTTTCTGACAAGATGGGTAATGAAATTGACAAATGTGATTTTTTAATACATTATAATGAAATGTGTCAATATTTGGAAAATCAGCATAGCTGAGTGAGCATATATGTTCCAGAAGACCAATGCATGATGTTTCAAAACCATGCATGGGTAAAAGATCCATTCAAAGCGTAAAACAGAGCAGTGGATTTTAAAGCAGCATATTAAGAAAAGTTTATTCATACAGGTTGAGATTCTACACTGAAACTAATCTTTACCATTTGTCAAGTTTTGGTGTAGTATCAAAGAATATCCACAATTATCTGAAAAGAGTATTAAAATGCTCTCCCTTTTTGAAGCCAGCACAACTTGTACAAGGCTATGTCATGGAAGCTCCATAGACACATCCAAACTCCGAGGGACCAAATTACTGGGCTGACAGCTGTGGGGACCACGGTCTCGGGGAACATCTAGCTCAACTGGCATAACATAGTTTATAAAGAAAATATTCTACATTCTACATTGGTGAGTAGTGTCTGGTGTCTTTAAAGCCTGTGAGCGGCCATCTAAGATACTCCACTGGTCTCACCCCTTCTGGATCAAGGGAGAATGAAGAAAACTAAAGACACAAGGCAAAGATTAGTCCAAAGCACTAATGGACCACAACTACCACAACTTCCACCAGACTGAGTCCAGTACAACTAGATGGCGCCCCGCTACCTCCACTGACTGCTCTGACAGGGATCACAACAGAGGGTCCCGGACGGAGCTGGAGAAAAATGTAGAACAAAATTCTAACTCACAAAAAGGACCAGACTTAGTGGCCTGAAAGAGACTGGAGAAACCCCAAGAGTATGGGCCCTGGACACCCTTTTAGCTCAGTACTGAAGTCACTCCTGAGATTCACCCTTTAGCCAAATATTAGGCAGGTCCATAAAACAAAACGAGACTAAACAGGCACACCAGCCCAGGGGCAAGGACTAGAAGGCAGGAGGGAACAGGGAAGCTGGTAGTAGGCAACCCAAGGTCCAGAAGGGAGTGTGTTGACATGTCATGGGGTTGTTAACCAATGCCATAAAACAATATGTGTACTGTTTAATGAGAAGCTAGTTTGTTCTGTAAACCATCTAAAGTACAATAAAAAAATATAAATAAACACTTCTCCCTTTTCTAATTACATAGGCTGGGTTTTCTTCAGATACTTCAAATGAAACAACGTATCAAAACAGACTGAACGCAGAGGCAGATATGAGAATCTAGTTATCTTCTATTAAGCCAGACATTAAAGAGGCTTGGAAAAATGTAAAACAATGCCACTCTTCTTATTTTGTTTTGTTTTGGAAACTAGTTATTGTATTTTTAAAATGTGTTATTTGTTAACAAGTAATAGGTCTATTACTGTTATTTTTTAATTAATAACAATTCTTAAATTTCTCAATTTTAATTTCTAGCATGATAGATATAAACCCACATAAACAAAAGTTCTTTGAGAATCTCAATAATGTGTAAATGTGTAAAAGAGTCCTGAATTCAAAAAGTTTGAGAATGATCACATTAAAAACCAATGTATGTTACTAGTAAAAAGATTAGAAATAATCCAAAAGTCCATCAATAAGAGAACTGGCTAATTAAATTGTGATACCTCCAAACAGTGGAAAACTGCCAATATGGGGGGAGAGGGAAGACCCTCAGGGTACTGACAGGGGATGGCAAGATGCAAAACAGTGTGTAAAAAGGGAGGGAAATAAGAAAATATATTAAAAAAATTCGACTTGCATCTAAATCTCTCCCATATTTTAATATTTTGAAGACTGAATGTTCTGTTCTTCGTATCCTCCCATAATGTGTCTTTGCAGAACAGGAGACACAGGATATTTTTTTGTATTGCAGGACGAGTTACATTATAACAAATAGCAATTGAGGAAAGTCCGTTTCTTGTAGTTTGAGAGAAGCTCAAGATGCTTCTGAGGAGATTTTGAGTACAAGAATTTTTTTTTTCCCCGAGAGTTTTGAGAAGTGGGTGACAGGCCTACCTTTGAGCAGAAAACCCGTTACCGTCGAGTCAATTCCGACTCGAGTCATAGCGACTCTATAAGACAGAGTAGAACTGCCCCATAGGGTTTTTAAGGAGCGACTGGTGGATTCGAACTGCTGATCTTTTGGTTAGCAGCCGAGCTCCCACCAGGGCTGAAGAAAGGCTGCCCAAAATTCGGATTCAGAGGCTAAGAAGTTTGTCCTCGAGCTTATTAAAGTAATAATAACTGCTGTTGTTATTACTATTTCTTCTCCTTCCCGACAGAGCACCCAAACGAGGCCCCGTTTCCAAGGAGACAGAGCAAGGGGAACCAAGGGACGCCGGGACCTCGGGCTTTGGATGGAGTTGGGCAGTTTGACAAAAGCAGGTATGGGCTGACAGAAGAAAAAGAAGAACCTTCCTCTGCCTCTGACCGGAATAACAGGGTCTCTCTCCACTACCTTACCGGGTCTTGCCGCCAGCAAGCCTCCGGGCCCGGCAAGCAGCATCATTAGGCGGAACATGGCGCGGCTTCTCGGCTCCGAGCCGGGACTGAGAGGGCGGCCGTTGGGCGGCTCGACTCGGGCGCCGTAGCCTACGCGCGCGTTCGTGCGCTGACCTTCTCCAGATGCCACACGTATTTAGGGCCCGGTTGCTAATCGTCCTGCAACGCGCGCCCGCCTTAACAACAGGACGCCCCTTTGCTAAATCCATGAGACCCACCCTAGCCAGATGGCCCGCTGCTGTTTTGGAGCTATCCAACCACCCTAGTCCCCTCTGTCGCGGCTATCTCCCCCACAAACCGTTCGCTTTGTGTTGATGGCTTTGAAAAAACTAACACATTCATCGCGCTTGCTTTGTATCAGGTATTTCCTGTTGTCTTGAGACTGTGGAGTTGATTCTGACTCATTGCGACCCCATGTGTTACAGAGTAGCAGTGCTCCATAGGGTTTTCTTGGCTGTAATCTTTGTGGAAGCAGAGCACCAGGCCTTTTGTTACACCTAGATTTCGAACCCACAGATTTTTGGTTACCAGCCAAGAGCAAACCATTTCGTCCACCTAGGGACCTTCAGACGCTTCCTCTGCGCTTTAAAAGGGGAATGCGTAATATTTTCTGAATTAAAAACTACACACACACACATACACACAAACATACATATATATTTATATTTACTAAGGCTGGGTTTCTGAGACAGTAAACTATTCAGGTTTGTGAAAAAATTCCAAGAAAGGAAAGAGTGTGTAAATTTTGATATTTTTGGAGAGAGCCTACTATAACTATTTCCACACCCACTGCCCAAATACACTTTTTAACCAGGCTGTGTCTACTTTTTCCTCCAATCCATCGGGTTCTCTGCAGGCCCTTAGCTAAAATTTATGTGATGTCATTCTCTTCTTCAGTAACTTAGTACAACTGAATATGCATTCATTTGTGTAGTGAATGAGATAGACAGATTCTTGCTCATAATTACAGTAGGTATTTTCCAATTAAAAAAAAATTAGTAGCCAAATTCTTCAGCACAGTACAGTATTTAAAACTTTCTAAATCAAGAACTCAGTTGATTTTCTCCTATCCCCAATGCTTTGGCCACTCTGAATTCTGGCCCTTCCTGAACATTGCCTTATCCTTCTAGATTGCAATGCCTCCCTCACATTCCCCAAAATTTATACTGTTTCTTTCTCCCAGCCTTCCCCAAAGGGATCTACGGCCTTTTACAAGAGTGATAGTTCATTTGGAAAAAGGAAATAATCCGACTTCTCAGGGATTACTGGATACTGGCTCAGAACTGATACCAATTCCAGAAGACCCAAACTGTTACTGTGGCCCACCAGTCAGAGTGGAGGCATATGGAGATCAGGTTATTAATGGAGTCTTTAGCCCATGTCCATCTCACAGTAGGTCCAGTGGGTCCCCGAACCCAACCTGTAGTGATTTCCCCAGTTCCAGAATGCATAACTGGAATAGATATACTCAGCAACTGGTGAAACCCCCACATTGGATCCCTGACAAGTAGAGTAAGGGCAATTATGATAGAAAAGGCCATGTGGAAGCCATTAGAACAGCCAACTTGGAAAATAGTAAACCAAAAGCAATACCATGTTCCTGGAGGGGTTGCAGAGATTACTGCCACCATCAAGGACTTGAAGGATGCAGAGGTGGTGATTCCTGTCATATCCCCATTCAACTTGCCTATTTGGCCTGAGCAAAAAACAGATGGAGCTTGGAGAATGACAGTGGATTATCAAAAACATAACCAGGTGGTGACTCCAATTGCAGCTGCTATTCCACATGTGGTTTCATTGCTCGAGCAAATTAATATATCTCCTGGTACCTCGTGTGCAGCTACTGATCTGGCTAATCGTTTTTTTACCCTACCTGTTTCCAAGGACCACCAGAAGCAGTTTACCTGCAGCTGGCAAAGCCAGCAATACACCTTCAGTATCCTACTTCAGAGGTGTATCAACTCTCCAGCCCTCTGTCATAGTTTAGTGCAAAGGGAACTTAATGACCTTTCCCTTCCACAAGATGTCACACTGGTCCATTACATTGATGACATTATGCTGATTGGACCTACTAAGGAAGAAGTGTCAATGACTATAGACTTATTGGTAAAATATTTTCCTGCTAGAGGATGGGAAATTAATCCCACAAAAATTCAGGTGCCTTCCACCTCAGTGAAATTTCTAGGGATCCAGTGGTGTGGACCATGCTGAGATATTCCTTCTAAAGTGAAGGATAAGTTATTGCATCCAGCCATCCCACAACTGAAAAGGAGGCACAGTGCCTAGTGGGCATCTTTGGATTTTGGAGGCAATATATCCCTCATTTGGGTGTGTTACTTTGGCCTATTTATCAAGTGACTCAAAAAGCTGCTAGTTTTGAGTGGGGCCCGGAACAAGAGAAGGCTCTGCTGTTGTGCAAGTGGCTCTGCCACCTAGGCTGTATGATCTGCTGATCCAATGGTGCTTGAAGTGTCTGTGGCAGAAAGAGATGCTGTTTGGAGTCTTTGGCAGGCCCCTAGATGTGAATCACAGTGCAGATCCTTAGGATTTGGGAGTAAAACCCTGCCATCCTCTGCAGATAACCACTCTCCTTTTGAGAAAGCTTTTGGCTTGTTGCTGGGCCTTAGTAGAGACTGAATGCTTAACCATGGGCTACCAAGTCACCATGTGGCCCAAGCTGCCCATCATGTACTGGGTGTTGTCTGGCCCACAGAGCCAAAAAGATGGACATGCACAGCAGCACTCCATCATTAAATGGAAGTGGTATATACTAGATTGGGCCTGAGCAGGACCTGAAGGCACAAGTTGCATGAGGAAGTGGCCCAAATGTTCATGGTCTCCACTTGTCTTGCATTACCTTCCATCTCTTAGTCTGCATCTATGGCCTCATGGAGAGTTCCTTATAATCGGTTGACTAAGGAACAGAAAATTCGTGCTGGGTTTACAGATGGTTCTGTGCAATATGCAGGCACCACTCAAAAGTGGACAGCAACAGCACTGCAGCCCCTTTCTTGTACCTCCCCGAAGGACAGTGATGAAAGGAAATCCTCCCAATGGGCAGAACTTCAAGCAGTGCACCTTGTTGTTCACTTTGCTTGGAAGGAGAAATGGCCAGATGTACAATTGTATACTGATTCATGGACTGTTGCCAATGGTTTGGCTGGATGGTCAGGAACTTGGAAGGAATGTGATTGGAAAATTGGGACAAGGAGGTATAGGGAAGAGATATATGGGTAGATCTCTCTGAATGGGCCAGAGAATTGAAGACATTTGTGTCGTATGTGAATGCTCACCAAAGGATGACCTCAGCAGAGGAGGATTTTAACAATCAAGTGGATAGAATGACATTTTCAGTGGAAACAAGTCATCCTCTTTCCCTAGCCATTCCCATCATTGCTCAATGGGCTCATGAACAAAGTGGCCATGGTGGCAGGGATGGAGGTTATGGATGGGCTCAGCAACATAAGACTTCCACTCACTACAACTGACTTGGCTACAGCCACTGCTGAGTGCCCAGTCTGCCAGAAGCAGAGACACTGAGTCCCCAATATGGCATCATTCCTCAAGGTGATCAGCCAGCAGCCTGGTGGCAGGTAGATTACATTGGACCACTTCCAGCATGGAGAGGGCAGCATTTTGTTCTTACTGGAATAGACACTTACTCTGGATACAGATTTGCCTTCCCTGCATGCAATGCTTCTGCCAAAACTACTATCCATGGACTTACAGAATCCTTATCCACTGTCATAGTATCTCACACAGCATCACCTTCTATCAAGTGACTCACTTCACAGAAAATGAAGTGCAAAATGGACATGTGCTCATGGAATTCACTGGTTTTACCATGTTCCCCATCATCCTGAAGCAGCTGGCTTTACAGAATGATGGAATGGCCTTCTAAAGACACAATTACGGTGCCAGCTACGTGGCAATACCTTGCAGGGTTGGGGCAATGTTCTCTAGAAGGCTGTATATGCTTTAAACCAGCATCAGATACATGGTTCTGTTTCTCCCATATCCAGGATTCATAAGTCCAGGAATCAAGGGGTGGAAATGGGAGTGGCATTACTATTACCCCTAGTGACCCACTCACAAATTTTTTGCTTCCTGTCCCCGTGACCCTATGCTCTGTGGGTCTAGAGTCTTAGTTCCAAAGGGAGGAATGTTGTCACCAAGAGACACATTGATTCCACTGAACTCGAAGTTAAGAATGCCACCCAGCCACTTTGGGATCCTCATGCCTCTGGATCAACAGGCAAAGAAGGAAGTTACCATGTTGGCTGATGTCACTGATCCTGATTACCAAGGTGAAATCAGAATGATACTACATACTTGAGGTAAAAGAGAGTATGTGAGGAAAACAGGAGCCCCCTTAGGGCATCTTAGTACTACCATGCTCTGTGATTAAAGTCAATGGAAAACCATAGCAACCCAATTCCGACATGACTACTAATGGCCCAGATCCTTCAGGAATGAAGGTTTGGGTCACCCCATCAGGCAAGAACCACGACCAGCTGAGGTTGATTGCTGAGAGCAAAGGGAATATGGAATGGGTGGTGGAAAAAGGTACTTCTAAATACCAGTTACAACCATGCAGTCAGTTGCAAAAATGAGGATTCTAATTGTTATGAGTATTTCTTCCTTGTATGTGTGCATCAAATATTTTTTTCTTCACTTATAAAATATAAGATGTAAACAGGGCTAGTGCATTTTTGATTGTACACGTGTTAGCTGTATCATATTAGGCACAATATGACTTTATAGTTCTCTTTATTCAGAGATTATGTATGGTTTAAGTAGATGTGTACAGGTGCAAAGTTGACGGGGTGGACTTTACATTAACGTTATGTGTCAACTTGGCTGGGTCATGATTCTTAGTGGTTTGGAAGTTATGTAGTTTGGAGGTTATGCAGTGATGTAATCACCTCCATGATGAGCTCTGATGTAATCACCTCTAGGATGAGATCTGCTATGAGTAGCCAGTCAGTTGAAAGGGTGTTCTCTTAGGGGTGTGGCCTGCATCCAATATATATGGACTTTCTGACAAAGCTCACTGGCTTTTGCTCTGCTTGGAATCCTGCATTCAGCCCGTCAGCATCTGACCTCCAGTTCTTGGGACTTGGGCCAGCAGCCTGCCATCTTACCTGCCCATCTTGGATTTGTCAGCCTTCGCAGCCCGTGAGCCAACAGCCTGCCATCTGACTTGTGGATCTTGGGTTCACCAGCCCCTGCAGCTACGTGAGTCAGGAGATGCCTCCAGGCAGATGCCTCACGCACGGACTTGGGTCTTGTCAGCCTCTCCAACCATGTAAGCCATTTCCTTGAGATAAATCTATGTATATATACCAAAAAAACTTGTTGCCATCTAGACGATTCTGACTCATAGTGACCCTATAGGACAGAGTAGAACTGCCCCATAGGGTTTCCAAGGAGCAGCTGATGGATTCGAACTGCCAACCTTTTAGTTAGCAGCTGAACGTTTAACCAATGTGCCACCAGGGCTCCCTATAAATGTATGGATATATATATGTATATATATATATACAATGTACACACTTCACTGATTTTTCTTCTCTAGAGAACCCAGCCTAAGACACCCATCCTACCCCAGTTTCCATCTATATGTACTGACAGTATTTTAACTCTTTTCAAATACCAAAGAATGAATTAATCTCGCATATTAATTAATTAAAGGGACAGGCACACACACAAACTAAAAGGCATCGTGGGAACACAGGAAAGCTAACCTGGGGAGTTGACACATCTACAGTGAGATGAAATTTTACAAATGCAATGCGTAAGATTTCAACAGAGCAGTCTAAACCTGAAAAAAAATATTAGCATGAGCAAAAACACAGCAACCAAAAAAATACACCTAACTTGTTATCTCAACAGAAACAAACAATGCTAGACTAACACTGCTTTTAGGCAGCAGTAGAACCAAAAATTGGTTTCACTTCGCTTAACAGCAATTAGAAGAATAACTATAATATGTGTTTGTTGTTAGGTGCCGTTGAATTGGTCCTGACTCAGTGACCCCATGTGACAGAGTAGAACTTCCCCAATGGGTTTCCTTGGCTTTAATCTTTATGGAGACATAGTGCCAGGTCTTTGTCCCACGGAGTGGCTTGGTGGATTCTAATCCCCAGTGTTTCAGTTGTCAGTCAAGTGCTTAACAGTTTGCGTCACCAGAGCTTCTTTATAGTGCATGCTATCTTAGACTCTTCAATTTTGAATGACAGACTTCTAGTTCTCTCATTTCTTTGCTCTTTCCCTCTCCTCAACCTTTTCTGTTTAAATCTTCAATACAGCAGATGTTATACTATACTTACTTGTGTATATGGCTTGTGTATATGTGTAGATGTTACACTTCTAAAGAGCAAGAAGCATGTCCTATCTATCACTTATTTACCACAGTATCTAATGTAGTGCTTGCAACATGGTAGAGTTTCATTATTTATGGAATTTAATAAAATCTGATTTGTGCTTAGAAAACCCGGATTGTGCTTAACCATATGGTTAGAGTACCTGCCATTTCCTTGACAGAAAAGGAAAATGCAATGCTCTGAACAAGTTTGTAAGCATACAGTCAAACAGTGATATCAAACTTACATATAATTTGTCTTTGATTATTAAAACATTCTTCAGCAGATGGCAAGGAAGCCCTTTATTACTTTCAGATATTGAAGTGGCATCCATGACCAAGAAATTTCACAATTTTTAACAGCAATCAGAAAGAAATCAAGGACAAACTTAAGTGAACACTACATAAAATATATTTAAATATAAAAGTTCAGATTGATCAAACAATTTTTTAGAAAAACTTTCTCAATATTCAAAGATCCAAGGAATTACCTAAGAAAGCTTTTAAGTTACATAGTTAATACATTACCAGCTGTAAAATTTCAGTGATATGCATTACAATTGTAAAAACTGAAGTTATATGAGTGAAAGGCATAAATGTTTTCATTCTTATATGCATTCATTCAGAGATTTAAACTGAAATGAAGAGACCTTCATTTGAGATTTTCATTATTTTTAACATGTACCTGATCAATGACCTAATGAGTTATCTTCAGAGAACTGAAATATTCTGCTTTCTTCAAAACTAATCTGTTTTCCTTCAAAAATAAAAAGCCATTGTGCAAAATTTGGGTAAGTCTGAAAAACTAGTGAGCTAATATCTGTAAAAGTTTAACTAGTCTCTTATCTAAAAGAATAATATTTTAATAATAAATACTTGAGTCTTTAGGAAGTTACTGAGAGACATAAAACAGATTTTCAAGTATTTTATTTATTGTAAATGTTATATTTGCATATGTATATATACACAAACCAATTTCTTTGAAAAACTAATGAAATTCAGTTAATAAACCTATTATTAAACTTTATTATCAAAGGTTATGAAAAATTTTACTGTTTAAAATTGTAATGTCCATATCATTTCTTCCATAGGAACAATTCATTTTTTAACACAGGTTGGAAGATAACTCACAGATACCACACTAACTTTTTTGTACTTATCTAAAAAAAGAAAATCTTTTCTTCCTTCCTTTCTCCAGCCTAGTTTCTTTGAAAATATTAGTGGCAACAAAGACATAATCCAGCACACCTTAGTAAATGTAAACATTCTAAATGATATTAATAGCAAACTTTGAAAATTCAGATTTTAGACTTAATTTTAAAGTGCTCATGAAATTCTTAAGTAGTGTCGTAACAGCTCAACTGATTAAAATATTATAATTTTTCGTGCTTTATTATAGCCATGAATCAACAGAATATCAGATTAGCTCTATTAAATACTTCGTACCTTAAATCTTATAATTTATTTAAAATAATTATGCTATTGTAAAAGGATCCCATGCTTTAACATGATTCATAATAGAAATTCTAATATTAAATTAACTTTTCTAATATTCATTGTCTATAGCTGAAGTTCATAAAAATGGAGCTAATAACTGTGTGAATACAAACACACATGCTTTTAGAGTATCTTAATCTTTTAAAAAATATTATGACATCATAGTTGTGGATCTTGTGCAATCTTCTGAAGATAACAATGATGATTGTTACTCCATGCAAGATGAAAAACATTACTGGTAGCTAATTAGTCCATTTTCACAGGTATTAGATTATCACCTGTTCAACCAGAATCTACATTAATAATAACTGAAGTCAAAAATTCAGAATAACATTTAAGCACACAATGACAAAACTTAATCTAATACAGTTAATTTGAGAATCATTACAATCACATATTCAGAATAACATAATCCATGTTAAGTGCATTAACCACATAGATGACCTAATAATGATTATTCAGTGATGAAACAGAAACATTTTCCCAAATTCCCTGGCTTTAATGCATTTCCTTATATTTCTCAACTCCCACTACTTAGTTCCTGTCTTTCTGTGTTAGTATTTTTTTTGTGGTAGTTTGTTTCCATTCATAGTTGCAGCAGGAAGAAAGGTATATCAGGAAAATAAAAATAGTATTAGCTCAGTTCCCTGAAGACATCGGAAAAAGGAAAGGGAAAAAATCAAGTAACAGAACTATACAAAGGAGGTGCAGGAGCACGACGAGCAGGAATTAAATTTCCCTGAGATGATACTTTCGGTTGTGGTGGAGGTGGTCTGTGAAGGGGGGAAAAAAGACAGTTAATAGTTTAATACTGAATGCAATAACATCATATCCAATACAAGCTCAACACAACACCATCCATAGCATCCCTGACAACAGTTGAGGCTACTTTATATTCTGAGATCACTATTAATATGCTATTTATACTAAGCCAAAACAACCAAACCTGTTGCCATGGAGTCGATTCTGACTCATAGTGACCCTACAGGACAGAGTAGAACTGCCCCATAGCGTTTCTAAGGAGTGGCTGGTGGATTCAAACTGCAGACCTTTTGGTTGGCAGGCTGAGCTCTTAACCACTATGCCACCAAGGCTCCCTATTCATATTAATATTCATTAATTCATACTTTGTTACCAGACCTGCATAGATCTTATTTCGTATCTAACTGGTACTGTAAATACCACTAATCTACAATCCTTGATTTTAGAATTCATAATATTCTTCTCTGACAAGGCAGTTGAAACAGTTTTATAACAATGACATTCATAAGGGCTCCAGTCAGAGTCTAAAATGGAATAACTACTTCCCACTTTAAATTAATGTTACTCTATATCAACAACGTTGTGGCATGGAGGTTCTAATTCATAAGTTTTTAAAAAGAATAGCACATGATATTGTAAAGCCAAATTATAACAGACACATGCAGGACACTAAGGGAATTAAGTGCTTCTTGTGCTGCTAGAATTGAAGGGCAGCAAATTATTGCTAGGTAAAAACATACCTCTATGCTTACAAATACAAAGCTAAACTTCCAGTTAACCTCAATCATAATAACCAGTCTGGAAATCAAATTTGCTATTACTTCTCCATCTGTCTATCTTTATCCTCATACTTTAACTGTGGACACCTTCATAAACCTTTTCATTCAATTTTAGTATACCTCTACTCAAGAGGCGTAACTAAGGTATGGCAGGCAGGGCACGTGCCCTGGGTGCCGCTTGAGGAGAACACTAATGAGAAGCTTCTACTGGCCACTGCACTTTCCATCACCAGCTGTGAGAGATCATTCAGCAATTTAAAACTAATTGCCACAGGTGCCATTTTCCATAGATAGACCCCTGCTCTACTCCAGTAATACACTAGTACACTCCTTGCTGAATATTTGCCTCAAAATTTATGTATTCTTCTCTTGATCCTCAGTTGCATTTCAATGTACTATTATTGGATAATAAAGATTATACATGCGGACATTCCTCAGTGTTGCAATCCCATTGTAATTTGAAGGGCTTTTTTGTTGTTGTTGTTGTTATTTTATTAGGGGGAGGTGCATTTTATGTGATGTAAAATGTAATAAATTTTCTCCTTTCCTGCTGATTTTAAACCCATCCACTGAGTTATTAATTTCACCTCTTGTATTTTTCAGTTTTGGAATTTCTGTGTAATTTTTTTTTATAGCTTTCTAGTCCTCTGCAGAATGGATTGACACAGTGGCTGCAACAATGGGCTCAAGAGTAACAATGATTATGAGGATAGCACAGGACTGGGCAGTGTTTCATTCTGTTGTACATAGGGGTCACTATGAGTCAGAACTAGCTTGATGGCACCTAACAACAACAAACACAGTCCTCTGCTAAAATTCCCAATCTCGACTTTTAATTCCATAGACATATTTCTCATAGGTATTTTAAGTCCACGTCTGATAACTCTATTAACTGGATGCCCTCTGAATCTATTTCTATGATCTGTTGTTTTTCTTGGTTTTAGTCCCATTTTCTTTTCTTACATGCCTGGCTTTTTGATTGAGAGTCAATGAAAAGTTGTAGAAATAAGTTGAGGCTCTAGTTTACCCTTATCCCTGGGTCCCAACACAAAGTCTGAGATGTTTGCCAGGGTACCTTCTCCTTTGCAAGATTCCAAGTTTTGCCTCGTCTGCCCTGGGAGTTTGTTGAAAGCTCTCCTTAGCTTCCTAGCCTCTCAGTTGTCACTTTCAGAACAGGAAGACACACTGAAGACAGAAAAGTGGCCCCAAAGGTGGGCTCATCTCTGGTTTCCTTCCTGTTCTGGACCTTAGCCCTATAATTCTTCCATTTGTTGGTAGCTCTCTGATGCCTTCAAACACACGTTTTCTTACACTGTCTAGCTTTTCTAGCTGTTCTAAATGGGAAAGCTGGTTCAAACCATCTGATTTCCTATTGCTGGTTATTTTAAAGATCCTTGCTTCTGAATCTTAAGCACACCAAAGGCTGCGGCAGCAGTTTAATGTATGTCTCACTCAAGTTTCCTTAAGTTTCATTTTCACATTGTACTAATATGACTAAACTTACACGAAAGTTCCTCAAAAGCTTTTCTTCAAATAGTGATCTCTAAACTGTTGGCAATAAATACCCTGTCCAAAATTAAATTAAAATATAAAGGAAATTATTAGATATTAACTCTTGTTTTTTATTCAGATCAAGTAATCTAAACAAATTCACTTCAGACCTTGATGGGAACTGTTGAGGTTGCTTGGCTGCATAGGTTGATACTGGAAATCTGTTTGCATATACAGGCTAAAAAGGAAAAAAAAATGTTATTACTATATATTTTTCACATAATGTTTTATTTTCCAATAGAAGTATTCAACATACTTAAAATCAATGAATGGCCTCCTTTCAAAATATTTTGCTTTTGAGATGGAGCAAGATGGTGAAGTGAGTGGACGCCCCCATTTACTCCCTCAGCAACTAACCCACTGAACAAGGAATAAAAACAATCACAGACTAAGCTCTCAGAACTCTGGATGGCAACTGAGGCATTGGAAAGTCAGGGTGAGTCCAGGAGTCGGGGAGAGGAGAAGCAGGGACTTCACAGAAACTGGCAGAACCTATCCACTAACATCATGAGCACTCACTTATCATAGCCATTTTGGGACAGCACTGGGCAACACCCCAAACAGGGAACACAGAAAGGGAGCTAATCTGAGGAAGCGATAGTCCAATTTTTTAAGGCGGCGCAAATTGGCCATGGGAATTCACGGGCCAAGCAATTGGGAGGGGGGAAAGGGAGGCCATGGCACCAAAAGAGACGGCTGTTAAATCTTGCTGAGGTCTGAGACAGACGGGCAGTAGGACTGGGAGGAACTGCAACGGCAGCAGGGCGAGGGGAATACTTCAGACAGTGACACAGAAGGAAACAGCTAGCTCCCTGCCCATAGCACAACACCACATGAAAGCCTGTGAAGGAGCACCCATGAGGGAAAGACAAAAAGAGCCCTTCACCTTTGCTTCGATAAAGTCAAGCCCCATCACTTACGTAAGAGTCTGCGACCAGCTCAAACCCCCCCAAACTGTGCATGCACACTGAATTCTAGAGATCAAGCATTCAGACCTCAGTCAGCACTGAAAAAAAACCTAAGGATAAGAATGCCCTCTAAAGGTTCTCAGGAGAATATACCAAGCCCACTGCTGCTGGGTCGATTCTGACTCCTGGCGACCCTGTGGGGCAGAACGGAGATTCCCTGTGGGGTTCCCAGGGCTGTGAATCTTTGCGGAGGTGAGCTGCCACATCTTACTCCTGAGGAGCAGAAGGTGGGTGTGGGCCTCAGCGTTCAGTTGGCAGCTGGGCCTTGGTTGCTGTGCCACCAGGGTGCCCAATCAGAAAATTTTCCCACAAAAATCAGAACATAAAATTGTAATACACGCACACATACAAAGTGTCAAAGTCCAACAAAAAATAGTAAAACACACAAAATCACAAAAGAAGAAGGAACAATCAAAAGCAAAACATGAAGAGGAAATTTCTCCTGTGGAGGCCAGACTAATGCAAACAATTGATAATTTTCAGACTATGGTGCCACATATGTTTAAAGAAAGCAAAAAAGCATACAGAAAACAAAGTAGTGGAGATCAGGAAACAAATGCAGGAACAAAATGAGAGACTCAGCAAGGAAACTGAAAACATCATCATCAATAACAACAACAAAAAAAAATGAAAGACAACTATAGGAACTGAAGAATGAAACAACTCAATTAGAAAAAGCAAGAGAAACACTCAAAAACAGAGTCGAACAGACAGAAGATAGAATACATGAAATAGAAGACACAATAACTGAACTTATCAAGTTTCAAGAGAAAAGAAAAAAAAAGTGGACAAACTCAGAAGGAAATGTGGGATTCAATTAAGAAATCTAACATTAGAATTATTGGAATCCCAGAGGACCATAACAATAAAGGCATAGAAACCATTTTACAAGAGATAATCACAGAGAATTTCCCAGACCTGAGCAGAGAAGCAAGCCTGCAAATACAGGAAATTACATGAACTACAATCAGAAGAGATATAAAAAGATCAACTCCATGTCACTGGCTAGTAAAATTCTTGAAAACCAAAGACAAGGAGAGAATTATGAAAGCAGCAAAAGAAAAACACAATCTAACATTACAAGGGTCTCTCATAAGAATCAGTGTGGATTTCTCCTCAGAAACTCTAGAGGCCAGAAGACAATGGAGCAATATATATAAAATACTGAATGAAAACAACTGCCAGCCAAGAATTCTTTACCCAGCATCATGGTTTGAATTATTTTCCCCCAAAAATGTGTATATCAGTTTGGCTGGGCCATGATTCC